TTGTCAAGTCTGTTCATGTCAAGTCAAGTCTCTGATTATTGTTTGGATGTTTGGATCACACTGTAAATAAACTGCACTTGGGTTCTTCACTACGCTCGCCTTCAGTGGACTGATTCGTTACAATGACCTTTCAGAGGAGCTGTTTTTAAATTAATATATCAGTTCATTAGTTAGTTGATAATAATTAAGGATTCACTTTACAAGAACTAATTTAAAACACAATTTCCAGATAATTATGTTTGTGAAACAGAGGACACCTAATAGCACACAGCTAGTCTGGCAGAAAGCCTTGATTGTTTTTCCTCTGAATCTGATTCAGTCATATCTAAAAGTGCTTCAGGGGGTTTGCTGAATTTCTACAGTAAAAACCTTCAAGGCTCTTGCAGTGACAGTCAGCACATCGAGGCTGTATTGCCATTTTAGGTGGTTAATTTAAATCTTTATTCATTTTCAGATCCATGGTTAACACGTCCCTGTTGTGGCTCCCTGACTCGAGTCTCTGTCAGCACATGCCCTTGCTCAGGTGGTTGTGAGTATTTCCTGTTACTGGCCCTTTTTTCAACTCTTACAAAGTAGAGGATCATCCGGACCTTTTATAATGCACAACAGTATATATATATATATACACACAGCATTTTATTTTATTTTATTTTTTAAAAAATATGGGAAAAAATTAAGTAAAAAAATATGTATTGTATGTATTTTGAGGATTTATATGTTATTTGAGATACACACTAATATATAAAAAATTACGTAGAATTATGAGTAAGGCTCAAAGATGGTTTGGATATAACATCACGGTTAGATTGGTTAAAATGTCTTTTAGAACCATCCACTGTGGTGGACACCATGCATTATAGGGTGAATTTATTTGCTGGCACACATGCAACATGTTAAAGGCTCATTAGAGGAAATAAAAAGAGTCCTCCTGTGTTTATAATTGTTTAAGGCATCATGCGACTCACAGAAATCCTCCTGGCTGTACATCATTCTAATTCACTGAATTTTCCTGACACAACTAGTTAAACTACCAATGTTTGTGTATGATTAGGGATGGGTACCGAAACCCAGTATTTAATCGGTCCCGGGGCTAAATTATGAAAGACCGGAGTATCGATAAGCTCTGACGTTAACGGTTCTGCTATCGGTACTGGAGAAATTAATAAAACACACATACATACATTATTGCTATATATACATTATCTTGCAAATAAGAATACCGTTAAAGTTCCGAATCGATAAGCAGTATCGGTAAGAGTAGTAATACCGTTAAAACCTTAACGATACCCATCCCTATGTATGATACTGTAATAATGTTAAAGCCTTCTTAGCTTGACCATTTATTTCTGTGCACATGTACATGTGCATCTTGTTTAGAGACAGTAAGAAATACAGCATTTATTTTTGATCTGAGTGGCCCCAACATATCAAGCTGATTTCTCTGGAAAGTTTTGATACTCTGGGAAGGTTTTTTTTTTGTTACTTTTAGCTGTAAGCGTGTATATCTCTGTATGTGTGTGTTTATACCTGCATGTCTATTAGTATATTAGTCATCTGGCTCTTTGGTTTATTTGAATAGGTTATTCTAAGGTTAACGAACAGAAAGAGTCTGTAACACTTAGCCGATGGTCTCTGAACTGAACAAATGATACCGCATCATAGCGTTTTGCTATGAGGTAGGTTTGAATTTAGCAAATCTCACTCGGTATGAATCATATCACCTCTCAGTGAAATTCCACAGCTGTCCAAGTAAAACCACTTAATATAGCTTACGCTGTTGTCAGCAGTTGCTTTGCTCAGATAAACCTATGCCTAGAAGACCACACTCACTTAAAAACTTTAAAGATGTTTTTGTTCAAATTTTATGGTCAACAATTACCTTAAAACCTGATTATTCCTAGACAGGACACCCACAGACCGACCCACAGGCCAATTTACTGACCATCTGATGGGTATTGCACACAAAACTGGAAAGCATTTTCTCTATCTGGCAAGCTTTAATCAGATTGGCGGATTTTAAGCACCTTCCTGGAGTAAGGGCACACCGGGTTTATTATCAGTCTACTTGGAAACAAAGTCATGTTTACGAGGTACCGGTTGATCCAACGAGTGCTTTTGTGGATGAAATAATCTCTAGATCTGCCAGTTTTTCAGGTTAGTGAGAACAAAACAAACTGTGATTTCAGAATCAGAATCAGAAAGAGCTTTATTGCCAAGTATGCTTGCGCATACAAGGAATTTGTTTTAGTGACATAAGCTTCCAGTACACAGAGACAACAACAACAACACAGATAATAAAAAATAAGATGAGAATAAAAAAAAAAAACACATATGTAAATATAAATAGACAAATATTGAAAAATAAATCGAAAAATAAATAAATTGTATGTACAGTTGTGCTATAGATGATAGAATGGAATAGAATAGAATGAGATGCAGGGATGTACTAGGATGGAGGTGGTAACAAATAAATATAAGGTTATTGCACATTTTTATTGCATAATGTGGGGAACATTTAACTGTTCATGAGGTAGATTGCCTGGGGGAAGAAACTGTTCTTGTGCCTGGCTGTCCTGGTATTTGCGGATCTGAAGTGCCGGCCAGATGGTAAAAGTTAAAAAAGGGGATAACTTGGATGTGAGGGATCCAGAGTGATTTTCTGAGCCCTTTTCCTCACTCTGGATGTATACAGTTCTTGAAGGGTGGGCAGGCACATCATCTTCACTGATCTGAAGTGCAGGAGGGGGGGGGTTGCAGGAGGTGTTAACTATTGTGTAGAGAGATGGTCAGAACGGGTGTGGGGGGTTTTGAATCTACAATAAAATTCATTCAGGTCTTCAGCAAGTTGTTGATTCGCCTCAGTGTTGGGGGATGGTGTCTTGTAGTTTGTGATGGCTTTCAGACCTTTCCACACTGAAGCTGAGTCATTGGAAGGGAACTGATCTTCCAACTTTTTAGCGTAGGTCCTTTTAGCCACGAGAATGAATGAGTGAAACTCCCGCGGCGTGTAGAACGGTTTACAGTTAATGAAGATTTCTTTCGTAGCATATCAGTCAGATACTCTCTTTCTGTCTAAGTGGGCGTTTATAGGCCAGATTAAGCTGCTTGAACTGTTTATTCAAAGGTCTGACTACAACTCCATTGACTGTGTCACACATTTTGAGTTAACAATGAAAACTCCTCTCAAAGCGTCCATATCTTTGCCAGATGTGTGTTTGTTTTCAAGCGTCTCTCCCTTCATGATGAGCACTTAGGACTCATTTTCAGCTTTTCTGTGAACAATGCACTCTGGTAATTATAGTCAGAGCAGACAGAGACTGACAGTGGGCATCAGCAGGATCACTGCGATTTTTGACGTTACATATGCGAGCAGCTCACTCGTGCTGCGATACTCTCGCCGCTGAATGACAATTTGCCATCTGCTAGTCCAGCCTGACACTTTGGAGAGAAAGACTATCAGAGGTACTATCAAAGTCAGGCACATCCTCTCGACGAAGTGCTTGCTGAATGAAAAATTTCAGCATGGGGCTTCATGAGGCACTCTGATTATTCATGTCAAGCACCTATGGCTCTTGATTAGATTTTTTGTTGTTGTTGCAGGAGGAGCAATGGGATGAGTTTTCCCAGTCATCAGTGCAAATGTTGTCTTCCTCATGTCCTCTAAGTCAGGATTTATAATTGTTTTTTTAAATATACAGCTCTTTTTCTTTCTTTGCTTTTCCTTGGCTTGTCTTTCTTCACAGGGACTTCGCTGAGAACCACGTTGGGTTGCTGAATTATTCCACTCTGAAGACATGCACCAAGCTCACAGTGCTGTAAGTGTTTTTACGTGCATTTACCCTCAGCCACAATCCACTGTAAAATCTGATTAGTTGGTTTCATTGTGTTTTTTTATATGATGGCTGCACATGTTGATGCCAGCATCACAATTAATGGCAACGTGGAAGCGAGTTTGATTTAATGGTCAGTTTAATTGAATGTGGTACAGATGTTGGTTTTAGTTTATCTCAGACATGTTTGTTTTTTTTTAATCCTCAGTTTATCTCTAAAAGGAAATGCTTGTTCTTGGCTAGTCATCAGGATGTGAGTGTCTGTCTGCACGTGTTTCTTACAAGTGAACAAAGTTTGAAGCCCTTGTGGAAAATGAAGTCAAGCATGTGTTGAAATTTTCTTAATTTTACTGTAACTTTAAAATATAGGACATGACACCATTCTGGTTGTGTATATCACAAAGTCTTTTGATGTTAGGTTTTTCAAATAATTATATGTCATATACTGTTGGGTATAAAAGTCTGAGACCACTAGTAAAAATTTTTCTATTTTGCACTTTTTTAATATTACATACCATTTTATTTTATTACACAATTTTTATTAAAATTACATTGTCAGATTAACAACGTAACTAAAAATGTTAAATAAAAACACAATTATTTGATAAAAAAAAAAAAAAAACGTTTTAATTGTTTTTAACCATGTAAATGACTGGCATTTTGCTGTATATCAGAGCAAACTCACATCTTCTCAATTCTACCACAGATCGAGAGCAAGCTTGACGTTTGTGTTGACGTTTGTGTTTTTGGACTGGGTCAAGATTGAGCATTTTTGTGAAGAATAAAATTATTCGCGGGACTCCCGCAAAATAGAAATATCTAAACATAAAATATCTAAAAACAAATAAATTGTTTTTCATCTATTGCACAAAAGCAACAAGAACAACTAATATAAAATTTAAATGATTAACAGGCGCAAGCATAGGCAGAGTATTTATAACACGTGTTTGCAGCATTGAGCAATGTAACAAATCACAGACATATCTATTGATTTCTGGATCGCAATGGCCAATCAGAGGCGCTTAAGTTAGAATACACTCAACGCTCAAATGGAGTTCTTGCGCAGTGCTGAAATTGGCATGCTCACGAATCCCCTCATTATAACACACAAAGTGTAGACATTATGAAAGATTCATTGTGCATATATTCATAGTGTTACAGCTTTGTGAGATCGCGATGAACTGAGATGTCAGCTTTTTAGTGATTATAAAGGGAGCGCTCTTTGCTCGAATTCTGCCATTCCAAACCATGCACACAGAAGCTCATGCTTGCTATTAAAAATAACAGTGGTTTGTGAATGTTGATGCTTAAATAACAAATATTTTATCAGTGTTAATACTCTCATAGTGTATTATTAATATGTGCAATTCTCTTTTGTAATGGATGTGGGGAAATGTCAGACATATCTTAAATGAGACTTTCAGAGAGAGATAGGTATCCCTGCAAATAAGGTCAGCTTGCCCTTGCTGGAAGAATAAGCTGGAAAATGCAGCAGAAAGCAGTACGATTTCGTTATCGTCTGGCTGTTTCACAGCCCAGTGGCTGTTCTTTGAGGCTTCCACACAAGTGAAAATGTGGTGGTTTAGTCTCATTGGAAAGTAACATTAAGTTTGTTCTCTCAATTTTTATGTCCAGATCACTGCATGACAATAAAATCAAGATCCTTCTAGAAAACACGTTTCATTCTCTTGGATCTTTGGTTGAACTGTGAGTACCGCAGCACATAATCTGGAAAGGATGTGAAATCTTGTGATTTGAGAGTAATAACTTTGCTTAAACTTTCTGCACATACATAATTGAGATGGCTTTATATGCACATGGATTATGCTTATTTAACAGATGTATTTGTTTCTCCTTCGTTTTTTTTTAGAGATTTGTCTTGCAACAGAATTTCCAATCTTCCTAAAAACACTTTCAGGAGTTTACAATATCTGCAAAAACTGTGAGTCATGCACATATCAGTCACGTAGTTCAAAAGTGTTGAATTGATCAATGCATACAATGCAATAAACAACACCACAATACTATGAAATAATATTATTTTAAGGGATATTTCACCCAAGATGGAAAAAATTCTGTCTCACTCACCCTCATGTCCTTCCAAGCCTTTGTGCTGTTAGTTCTTCCATGGAACAAACAACTCTTCATTTGGAAGCTGTCAACCCCCCAAAAATGACAAATGACTAAAAAAAAAGCAATAAAAGTAGTCTAGCTGTATTTAGAGCTGTCGAAGCCATATGATAACTTTTTGAGTGTTTCATGTCCTTTTTGGAACTTGACAGCTCCTGGTAACCATCAACTGTCAATGGATAGCAAGAGCTACAAAGTGGTTCTTTAAAAAAATCTGTTTAAAGAAAAACAGACTTGGAATGTGATCAGTAAATAATCAGAATTACCATTGTTTGCTGACATACTCCATTTAATATTTGCAGGAATATATCCCATAATCCTTCACTCCATATTCATGCCAGTCACTTCGATCACCTGGTCCAACTTGAGTCTCTGTAAGTATCAACACCGCATGTTCTGCCTTTCAAAAGAATGCCTTTTAAAACCCTATTAGTAGGTGTCACATGAAATACAACATCCATTTGTATTTAACAGAAGTCTGGAGGGCATTGAAATTCCTGATATAACCACCAAGATGTTTCTTCCGATGGGAAACCTGTCCCACATGTACGTACCTCTCATTGTGTGGTCTGTGTATTAATCTGCATAAGCAGGATGCTCAGCTTGTAATCTGTTATGTGTGCATATCTGTCTTTTCTAGATATTTTAAGGATTTTCAGTACTGTTCCTATGCCCCACATGTTCGGAAATGTAAACCTAATACGGATGGCATTTCATCAGTGGAAGACCTGCTAGCCAGCATGGTTCTGCGGGTGTCCGTCTGGGTTATGGCCTTCATCACCTGCTTTGGGAATCTCTTTGTTATCGGAATGCGCTCCTTCATTAGAGCAGAGAACAACCTGCATGCAGCCTGCATCAAAGTCTTGTGTTGTGAGTACAGCTGAAACTATTATTAATATTTGATTAATAAATACATTGTGCAAAAATGGTTTTAATAATAAAAAAAAAAATAATAATACAGCGACTTCAGATGATGCCAACCCTGGACTGACATACAAAACTGCCAAATACTATTCTTATATTGTATCATTATGACCACAATCTGTAATCATCGTCTAACATATTATGTGTACTTAACTAAATACATGATGCTAACTAGCCATATAACCTTATCTCATAGGTATATGCTACTGCCATACAGATATTACATTGACAAATTGATTACTTCCTGATTGTACCATTGAAAACATACACTTTTTGTGAAGCTACTCTAAAACAAAATGTATTGTGAAAAGCCCTGTGCAAATAAAATTGAATTGTATTAATAATAATAAACGATTGACTTCGTTGTTGACTAGTCTGGTCGTTATACAGAACACTTCATATGTTTATTACAAATTACAATTATTATTAGGGGTTCAAGCGTGTAGTGCTAAAACCCTATTGTAATTGTTATTCTTATTATATTAATAATAAAAATAAAAATTAATAAAATATTATTTAGTTATAACTATATTTAGCTGTCTAATATATACATTATATTATGTAGCTATATTAGTTGTTGTTGTTGTTATTATTATTATTATTATCCGTTACAAAATACACACACTCACACTATCATCTGTCTGTAACAGTCTCATAAAAGTCCACAGAAACGTTTGGCTAGACATTTTATGAGAACGAGAGAGAGAGAGTGAGGGAGGATTTTCTTGGAAAGAAACTATGCCCAGTTATGCAGCCTTCATGAAGGGGGATATTAGTGTAAAAACCCATGGGTAACAATAGGTAGGGGGAATTGATCTGAATAATGGAAGCTGACAGTGAAACCTGTTATGATTTGGTTTGCTTTTGTGTCTGTGTGTGTGTTTGATTGTTCGTTCCTGAGTATTTTTTGCATTAATCTATAATCTTATTTAGAAAGTGACCGTTCATTTGTCTTCATAAGCTTGCTTGTTTGAATGTTATGTGCAATTTTGAACTTATTTAAAGGGTAAAGTTACAGACTTCCACAGTCCGATCACTTCTTGATGTACCGAAAAATAAACACATCTACTAATACTTAAGTAAATCTTTGACAGGTGTAGTTTTGCCAGACATCAGGACGAGAACACGGATAGCCGCTTGATGGGTTATTTTTTTCAGTACTGCAGTTTTACCACCAAAAATCTGATAGGGAAAGGCAACATTATTTTACAGAATGTATTTGCGATTGTGATTTCAAGCTTGTCTCTTCTTTAGACAAACCATCTTTTGCTAAAAAAAAGATAAATTATATGTGTGTATGTGTGTGTGTGTATAATGCTAATAATTAATCATTTTACTTTTTTAAATCAAGCATTAAAACATCAAATTGCTGACTTAATTTTAGCAAAAGATGGTTTCAATTTATTATATAGGTATTATTATAGAAATAATTGAAAGTTTTATTTACATAGATCTAATTTAATTATATGAAAGTAATGTAATTTAACTGTAATTTCTGTATAAATGTTATGTATGTTATGTATTATATTGTAATATATCGTTTTTATATATTAATAATATATTGATTTATTATAAAGTATAATATAAATATATAATAAATCAGTATATGTGTATATATAATTAAATTGCAGGAGTGCAGACAATTCAGTTCACGGTCTCTGTCTGTGCTGGTTTGGTTAATCTCAGCTACATCAGTGCGGGAACAGGAGCTTGGCCTTTATCCTCACCTGTTCGCTGGCTTTAATAGTGTCCCTCTACTCACCTTTGCCATGCTGTCAGATTAAAAAAATCGCCTATTACCACAGATGGCGGTACCATTGCCTGGCTCTGATTCATGATGTATTCCTTCAAATTATAAGGAACAAGGATACGTTTATACATTATTCACATTAAACACATTCCCTTTTCTCATAAGCTTTTGTGACGGCTGCAGTTTTCCTCAATTTATTGTCTGACTTGTGGGAGAACCAGCAAATGAGCAGCTGTGAAATATTTCACACCTCCACAGGAAAGAGAGGCCTAAAATAAACTGGCAAGCTACTTCATGCCACTTCTGGTCACACTATGTCTTTGTTTTTATATTAGTAATGAGGAAGATAATTTGTGCTGTTAAGATTAACATCCATTACAGTAATCGCTGCAGCAGGGGCTAGTCACCGTTGTTTTAAATCAATTCTGTGACTAGAGTGTATATCAAAAACCAACATGTCGTGACATAATGATACCAGAAATAAACCAGAAAAATTAAAACAAAACCCAAAAATTTCAGTAGAGACATTAACTTTCGTGGTTGAGTTGGATGAGAAACAAACCAAGTCTCAGTTGGTGCTCATCTTCCTCTGGCTGGCACATATTTAAAAAGATTTCATGGTATATTTATTTGTAGAAGCCTAGTTTTTTTTCTTCATTTATGCTAAGCACTGTATTATATGCTTGAGGAATGTTGTCATTATTTTGATTCTTTTGCTTTAATGTTTTCCAGTTGCTGACTGTCTGATGGGAGTCTATCTTTTCTTCCTGGGGATATTTGATGTGAAATTCCGCGGCGAATATAACCGGAATGCTCTTATCTGGATGGATAGCGCGGAATGCCGAACGATTGGCTTCCTCGCCCTGCTCTCCTCTGAAGTATCTGTTCTTCTCCTCACCTCCTTGACACTAGAGAAATTCCTAGTCATCGTTTTCCCGTTTAGCCATCTGCGGCCCGGGAAGCTGCAGACGGTGTTGGTTCTGGCCTTCATCTGGATTCTGGGATTTGTCATAGCAGCTGTTCCCTTGCTAAATGAAGACCTGTTTGGGAACTATTATGGGCGAAATGGAGTATGTTTTCCACTGCACTCTGATAGGCTGGAGAAACCAACAGCCAAAGGATACTCCACAGGGATATTTCTTGGTTCGAGTCTTTTCTCTGATTTGATGTTTACTAATATATTGAAGTGTTTTCATGTATTTAGTAGTTTTGATTCTTCTATTAATATAATATAATATACACTACCAGTCAAAATTTTTAAATATTTAAGCTTTTTAATGTTTTTGAAAGAAGTGTTATGCTCACCAAGCCTGCAGTTGTTTTATCAAAATAATATTGTGAAATATTACAATTACAATTTAGAAGAAATGTTTTCAATTTGAATGTTTAAAAATGTAATTAATTCCTTTGATGGCAAGATGTATTTTCAGCTGCTATTACCGCAATCTCTAGTGTCACATGATTCTTCAGAAATCATTTTAAAATGCTGATTTGGCACTCAAGAAACATTATCAATGTTGAAAACAGTCATGCTGCTTAATTTATTATTATTATTTTTTTTTTTTACCTTGTAATTTTCAATCAAAATGTCATAAATCGATCCTCCACTGAAACAAAAGTCTTCTCTCTTCTCTCTTCTTTCTTTGGGGAAGTCGTAGCCTAATGGTTAGAGAGTCGGACTCGTAACCCAAAGGTTGCGGGTTC